TATAAGCAGAATACACACTACACAAAACTCAGCATGATATTGTGTCTGGAAATGCTTGTGTGGTCAGAGCAATCATGATTGTCTTTCAAGATGTGGGTAACCAGGGACAAAAGGTCTATTCATTTATTGAACCTGAGCACAAACAACATAAGCTATGGTAGGGGCCCTGAACCTGCTGTCGCATGGTCAGGATGTCTGCACAGAAATATTTCCCAGAGTATACTGTGGGAATAAGGTCCTTGCTAACTGGGTGATATTGTTGATGCTCAGTACAGAAAGTTTATACTGAGGCTCCAGGGTAGGCTTATTTGGGGTAGACTTAGTACAACATTCCAGGATGATAGGAGGTATTAGGGCTTCAAGGGGTCCAGATGGTCTCACGTTCTGTCTTACAAGGGCAAAAATGCAGAAATGCAGCTCAACTGCATGAAATATATTATTTTGTGATTTACCTAAAAAAAAAACTCATGTATAATTTATAAAGAACAACGATACAGTTTTTATTTAAAGTTCGTTATCTCAAGTTAAATTACCTCGTGATCTCTGCGTAAGTCATTTTTGTGTTATGGCATGATAATGTTCTCCTTATCTTGAGAAAACATAAACACCTTTTCTCCGTTCAACAAGAAAATTAACCCATTGTCTCAGGCAGTTATATTTAGTTTTCTCCATTTGACCAGAAAATGATCTTATCAAGAAAAAACAACTTTATCTCAAGATAACAAGATAATTGACATGATCTCAGGATAACAGGAAAATGATCACAACAGTGATAACTACAGTTATGTCAGTTTCTGGAAATCGCTTTGTGTAATCCTCTCATGTAGCAAGGTAAAAAAAAATCATCATCATCATCATTATTTAATTATGTAATTATTTAGCCACAGTAGAATATGCAGGTATTGTTGCTCACTTTAATTTTGGTGTACAATTTACAGGATGACACTCAAAATATATTAGATACTGTACAATGCACTGGCCCACTTTGAGAAATAAAAATATGAAATCACACCAGAGGTAGCCTTGAGGATTGAAAGCAAGCTTATAACTGGATATGGTCGCATTTCATAGCTCATTGAAGGAATGTGGGGTAGGTCCGCATGGTTGGCGACCATAAATTCAACTCAGCCAATGAATACTACTCAGATGGCCACGAGCAAAGAATTTAGGGAAAATGGAGGGTTAAAGCACTGCAGTTGACCATGTACACACCCAACAGACAATAAAACCCCAGGCTAATCCAGCTGTGCTGTACACAGTACCTTCCCACATTGGACCACTTTTTTTTCCCAGACCAGAGAAGCTCAAATATTCCCATAAAAGATTTCTTCTCTGCTGGGTCTGTGTACTTATTTTCACTGTATGCAGTCTGGCTGGGATCCCACCAGAGGGCTGTAAATTGCAAATACATTCTACACAAGAGGAAAGAATAAATATGTCCATGTTATTTATGCAAAGAGCATAGTACAAATACACAAAGTGACAATTAACATTAAACAATAAGATTTACTTTATGTCTGGGGATGAAAAACAGAAACGTAACCACTTGTGGTGCTTGAAACATCAGTTTCTTTTTTTTTCAATTAAACCTCAGTGATTGGCGTATAGTGGCATTTATTTCCACGACATGGAATACAGCTCATGTATAAGAGTGAAACTAGATGTATCTACATATAGGTGATGAAGACCAGTGAATGCTTTTAAGAAAGTAACAATATAGTCACAACTTTTTTCATGAAAAGAACATAAAAACAAAATTAGTGCCTGATGATGTCAAAAGAAGCTCTAGTAGTACACCTTTTACAAGTTCTCTGCCTTTTACCTTCTCTTAAAACTAGAATCCACTGCCGTAGTAAAACCACCATTGCCAGCTTGTAACAGGCAGGAGGAAAGTGAATTATAAATACTAGTGGTTAAGTCTGAGCAATTCAAGCTTTACAGCGTAGTTTCAGACATGTTTTGTTATACAGTTAGATTATGGTGTCCTCCTTCTCCAGTTCCACATGTATTCCCTTTATATTATCCCATAATATATATGTTGATGTATAAAGATATAGTAATATGAGATTTCTAAATGTACATAGATACATACTATACATACTGTACAAAGTGAGAACACAACTATTTGTTGAAAGAGTCATTTGAAACCATACATTTTTTCTCCATGTGTCAGATCATGGTTATGATCATTGTCCTTTTTGAGCTCTTGGAGAACAACTTGGTCTCTGTAACAAAACTACAGATACTCTGATTATTCGTTCATCCAGAATCATGCTTATATTTCTCACAGAAAATTAGATTTTAGAAAGTATACAAGATTCTTGTGCATCGATTTGAATGTTACATTCTTTCATTCATCGCGTTGTACGAGGTGACACGTTCTTTACTGCCCACTTTACATTTCTCTCTTTCTTTCCCTCCCCCTCACACACACAAACACACACACACACACACACACACACACACGTATGCAAACACACAAGCCAATCATGGCAACTGTATGGCCTCTGTTCACTAATATTTATTGACTCGAGCTACAGAATCACTATATTGTGCTGGTAGCATTTCATGGTCTCTTTTCATGTTATATTAAGTAATAATTTCAGTAAACAACAACAATTAATCTATTACATGTGTACAATGTGGCCCTCTAAAATTATATTTGATTTTTAATGCTGATTAATTCACCATCTACTGACCAGCAGAGGAAACTGTCATAGACATGTTTTGTTTGTTTGGACCTGAACAACTGAGTTTCCTTAGGATGGAGCATTTTTCATGTCAACTTTCTGATCCAAGCTGCAGCGTGTGCAGGCAACAATGACCAGCTCAAATTCTTTTTGTGGTACTTTTGTTGAACTGAGGACCTATTACACTTTTCTGTATTTCCTGTCATATATATCATGTTACATGTTACAGATGTCTATAACATATGTGGCCAAATTTTCAAATAATGAGATAAACATATGTAAAAAGTAAACCCTGTAAACAAAAGCTTGGCATCAGACGGGTCTGAATGCTAGGTTTCCAAGTGACGAGACTTAATCTCCTAAAATTGTCTGCTTGTGGAGTATTATAGGCATTAAATGTGATCCAGCATACAAATAACCAGCCGTGCAGGTTTAGTATACAGTTGTTTTGTGACAACATCATCTTTTGTATTTCCTGACAGCAGACGTTTTCTACATCAGTCTGCACTCTATCAAATTTCCCACAAGTACAACTATTAACAGGGGCATATGTAGAAAATGTAATATACGGATCATGACTGAAAGACTAAATCTACTGTTATGCCACAAAATAAGCAGGTAATAGGCCCCTCGGCAGGCTTCCAGATGTTAAACAGGAGAGAGTGGGCTCTGAAGGAGGCCTAAGCTAATATTGTCTGTGTCAGTCAGAGGCTCAGCTGAGGGGCTGCATAACAGGCAGTTTGATATAAATAAGGACATTGGTTGAACTTTGAATCGTGCAAAGCTACTCTTGTGGAGTCCCAGAATAAAAAAAAACAAATGAGCATAATAGGTCCCCTTTAACAACAATGAATGCTTTTACTAAACAAGTGGTGATGTATTCTTGGCAAGACACTGGGCAAGTTATTATAAATAGGGGAAAAAAAAGTGTAATCCCAGTATAAATTTCAGGCCCCAGTGGAGAAGTTGTGCCAAACTCAGAGCGTGTTGTCTTGAAATGCCTCCTCATATTAAGCTCCTTTTTCATGGAAATGCTCTCAGGGCACCGTAACCACATGGACCACAAACCAACAGGCGCTAACAAATACTTGTCTACCTCTACTTCTAGAGTAGACCACATAGTTTGGTAATTTGGTAACGGTTGATTTGGTGGGACCAAATGCTGCCCGACAAAAAAGAGAGAAAGTACGCTTGTCTGTATTATATGTTAGCTTCCTTGTGACAGGAGGAGTATTTGTGCTATTGATAGAAAATGATAAAAGAAACAAATATTTTAATAGGATAAGTAAGTGAATAATGTTTGTTCAGCATCAGCCAAAGGAATTATTTGACAAAGTGGATGGAGACAGAGCAGTGGAGGTAAAAGAGAGAGAAACTGGAAGGATTCAATTACTGCGAGAGGAAGGCACATGTGGCCCCAGAAGCAAGGAACACAGTCGCCCGACTATGATGGAGCACTGCATGTTATTGTATCATATTGAACTCTAGTAGCATAGCTTCATGGATTTCGACACACTTCAACCGCAGTCTGTTGAGACCTTGGGCAATACGGTACCAACCCCACCCCCCACACTCCAAAAAAAAATCTCTCACTTGAAGGATAAGTCTGGCATTATTCCGTATTTTTATTGTTGTGAATAAAGTCCATTACAAGACCTAAAGCGACGATATGTCTGCCTCAGTACTTTCCATCGCCCCTACCCTGTCTGTGGCACTCAGCCCTAAGCCAGATCATTTCTAATGAAGATGTAAATCTGTAAAAATTAGTCACAAAAACTGTATATAGTTTCATTTTTTAGCAAAAGCTAAATATTTTCCAGAAACAGCTGGGCACTGTAGTTTTTAGTAAATGTCACTGAAACAGGAGTAAAGTGCATTTGTTAGGGACTATTTCCATCTGCAGATTAACATACATTTGGTGCACTAATGAGCATTGGGACACTGTATGTGGGACTCACTGTGTTTTTGGTTGGTTTAGTAGACTCTACACTCAGCAAGGGATGGTTCAATACAAATTTCACTGCAGATAAATGTTTTCAACTGAAAAACAACAGTTAGTCAGTGGAGGTAAGGTAAAAGCCCAACAAATATCACCGATAGCTCAGCTGTACAGAGCACGATATATTACTGCTGAAAGAACTGATACGCTAAAAAAAAAACTATCAGAGTGTGACTGCTTTCCAGATGGACTGTAAGTAGTCTCATAAACCAAAGACCAGTTGGCCCAAGAACACAAGTGGCCAAAAGCTTTTTTGTTTGCATGTTTTGATATTTTTAAAGGCAAGCTATCACAAACCACACCTTGCCTCTGATTTCCATGGTTTCTCACAAGTAGTAGTTGTCTCTTATACATTGATACAAGTTTATCTCGTTGTTTTGCACAATAGAGTCAAGTGTAGTCCACAACAATCTGTAACCAGGTGTGAATACAAATGGTTTGTCTGCACAAGCTTGACAGAAGCAAAGTCATTGGCTATTGTATTATTTTGCATTATGGTGCAAGTAATCCTCATGCTGCTCTTAGGAGGGAACAAAAAGGGAATAGCCTCCAGGGATCTGAACTGAATTTGCTCAAGAGTTCTTGAAACCACTCGGCCTGATGGAACTTGCTTCAAAGTTCTTTCCTTGACTGTGAGTGTACCTGTGGCGGCAAGAGTGCCAAACGGAGAGTGAAGGGGCCCCGCAAAGGAGTGAAGAGTCCAGTCCCCCAAGAAGAAGAGCAGAAGATGGAGAGCTGTCAAACTGTCATCCAGGGCCAGGGACCCTGTGGAGACTCCTGCCTGGCACTGTCTGCAGAGGGCTTTGAAGAGAACATTTCACATTAAAAAAGTCATATTAAAGGGCAAATCCAGTGATTGAGTATTGCACTTCCTTAGGCCTAGTGTTAGAGGATTTACAAGAGACAGGCCAAAATCAAAGCAGGGGAGGCTGACGTATCCTGATTTCTTAGTCTCTAGTATGGATGAAACTCCAAAAACACTGGATCCTACATTTCCCATAATGCAACCAGTCGGGTTTCTGCGCCACTGTGTGTATACTTCAAACAATGGCGACCGAAACTGAGCGGACGTTGGATTTGGAGCAAATAAATGCTGAACTTTTACTGTCACTGAAATTGCTTCAACACAGAAAAGAGAGAAGATGTCGGAGGACATTGTGTGTACAACCATTAAACTGAGTGAGGCAGAGGCAGGGTGAATTTTCTGCGCTTATCCAGCCACTGGGAGACATGGAGGAGACATACTACCAAGCAGACCAGTCACACTTGTTGCGGCCTGTGTCGCTGCTAGGGAGGTGTATGTCAGGATAAAGCGTAGGGCACAGCAGTGATTCAGTGCAGGAGTGTAATACCATGCAGACAAAATGATGTCACATGTGCATTTTTAACTACAACTACAACGTTCAGATACATTTTTGATAAAATTCTGCTCTTTGAATGAAAGACAATAGAGACAATTCACTCACACCTCATTGTTTTTATAACCTCTTCTGTCTCATAAGACTAAACACACATGACCCACTCGCTAAAACTTAGTTAGTTACTCTTAATTTAGATAGTCAACCTACAGAGGGTTTGTATTTGTAACATTTTACTGATCTTTATTGAACATTCTAATGTTCAATTAATGTTCAACAATGTACATACAAATATTCAACCAACAATTAGTTTTAACCATTTAAGTTTCTTTCTTTGAATCTCAACTAATTCCTTTAAAAAAAAAAAGTGTAACCTCTTAATTTAAAGCAAGTGCAGAATTTAATCACATATATTCATCTATATTCATATCTGAGAGCACTCAAAGTCTCACTATTAAAATTTGGTAGCAATCCAAAACTGCCTGTGCTTGGTGTTACTACCAGAAGCCTTTTAATCAGATTAGGTCAAAGCTATTCATTTCACCCTTCACTTATATTGACTTGACAAGTTGACTGAGACCGAAAAGGATCCCATGTCACTTTTACAGAAAGAATCAGACTGACCTTGACAGACAAAAATCCTGGCACTGGGGATCTCCGTCAAGTACAACACAAATGCAGCGCTGAGTCTTTGCCCCCTCATGTTCAGCTGGTGGTCCGACAGCAGCACGTCTGATACGCTGAGGGCCTCGGTAGCTCGACATTCCATAGGGCACAGTGCGTCTAAGAAGTTAAAACAAACAGAGGCCATTTTCCTCAGTAACAGTAGAAATGTGTGATAAATCACATTCTTGAGGATACAGAGAAAAATAATATATCAGTATTAGATATTGTTATATTTAGCGAGAGTCTTCTAATAGCCCTCAAGGCAGCTGTTACATACAATATACTTCTTTTTGTAAACCTGATTAACCTTGAGGTAAAAGGCCTATTACCCTTTTACCTGTTCAGAGTTAAGTGGCTGCTGTGTTTTGATGCATCCCAAAAGGGTCTGGAACTGATGTCAGCTGGGGGCTGTTATCTGATGTTAAAAGAAGGGCTTTGAGGAATCCTGCCCTTTAAACAATACGGCACGCTGAGTTAAATACTTTAATTATGATTGTAGTGCAGGGGAGAGGTCACAGAAGAAGGAATCATAAATACGCACACTGACACTTCGAGGCTACCTATGACCACAGTCTTGTAAGCAAGAAGCAATGGGTGGCTCCTCTGGAGAATTTAGGGTGTGGGTGTTTTCTGTATGTGAAACCTTTTGCTCAAAGGAAACATATCATTCTTTTGGAGCTCATCTTCTATCATAGAGCAATGCTCGCCGCAGTGTGAGCGCACAAAGTTGAAAACACACTTGATGCCTTAATATTAAAATTATTGTATGTGTCATCATCCACCTCGGTCTTTAAACTATGTCAATTTGTCCCAACTTGCAAAGCAGTAATAAAGTGAGATTTTTACCTGAAATGCCAACAGCAGTCTTGGCAGAAGATAAAAGAGGAAGAAAGAATGCTTCTCTACTGTCCTGCCAATGGTTTTAATATGCAGCTTGGAGGTGGTAGAACAAAACACCATTCCTCAACACAAGAAGATGTTGTAAATTATATTTTAGGGTATTGTTTCTAATCTGCAGTATGCAAGGCCATGTTGAACATACATTGTGTAACCGCAAATTGTGAAAAACAGCCACTTACTCTAAACATGCCGGGTTGGTAATGTTCATTTTACACGGTCTCTCATCCCCTGCAGAGCCAACAGAACTTACCTCTGTCCAGAACCAGCCCCTGACTTTTGGTGGTCAGAACATGACCGTATGGGTGGTCCCAGAACCAATCTGTCAAATTACTTCCACTATTATCAATAATGATACTTTCTTTATGTTACCTTCCTCAGTGCTTGTCCATACAGCACAAGATGTTATACCAAAGGAAAAGTTAATTAATATAATCTGTGGGAATTTAAAGTCATTTCTATTCATTTATTCGCTTCTTTCTGAAAGCAGCAAAAACTATTTTCATAACTACAAAACTCCCTTTCAACAACTCAAATTAATGAATAAAGCATTTTAAGAATCAACCAATGCTGACTTTTAGCTTTGCACGTCAGATACTAGCTACTTCTATTATCACATGTTCACTCAAGCCCATGATTAATAAGAATATCCACTTTTGTGCTTGTTAGGTCCCCAAAGTTGTAAGTGCTTTGATAGAGGATTTGTTTGTTTTATTAGAGCATGAATTCAGTATGTGCTCTGTCATGGATTTTAGTTTAGCACAGGAGACAGGCATGCAAATTAATATATGCAACCTAATCTTTTGCATGGTGCAGGAACCATTTTGATAAAGACATCAATGCAGGGCTGTCACTCAGACTTCATTTCCAATTTCTGAATCAATTTTGCCAGGGAAGTATGTTACACAGGACTTGTATCATGGCTCATATGTCCGGCAACTGTGAGGATGAGAGGGTGATAAAGGAGTAACTGGAGAGAGAGAGAGAGAGAGAGAGAGAGAGAGAGAAAGAAATAGTCGCACATCCCTACAGTCAGATTTTGACCTTGCAAGGCGAGTTGCTTTCTGCTGGGCTTGCCATCACTTGAACTATGATTGCGTCTGGCGCCTCGGGGGAGAAGTTATCGGGCGTGACTTGCTACAGTTTCTTGGCTTAAGTGCTCCCATTGAGTTGCACAAACCAACCGCATGCCAATCTGGTTTTTAAATAGTCTTAATTGGTGCTCTTTATCCCCTGACAAAGGACGAGGTATTGTGCAAGCCTGGAGTTTGCACAATAGCAGCACGTCCGGGTGGAATTATAGACACCTTATAATATTGAAACAAACAGGTCTTACTCGGGAGTGTTGATCCAGATGATATCCAGGTGGCAGTAGTAGACGCACTCTTTATCCTTGTAGGAATAGCAGGTGCAGCGCTTAGGTCTGGACTTTGTCTCCGCTGCCTCAGACAGCTGTGTGCTCGAGGATCCCCCGGAGCCAAACACCCTGCTGGAGTCTGGGAGACTTCCAGGGGTGACCTCTGATTTGACCATGGCATCGGACGTCAAGACACCTTATTGTAAAACAAAAGGTAGAAATAAATAAATGCACAAATTAGCAGTTAAACAAATATACTGAAAAAATATTGATGAAGCCTATAGGCATAAATTTGCAGCTTGCAAACGTACCTTGTAGGAGAATTAATCCCAGTATTTTGAAAAGCATGATTTTCGCGAGGATGGATAGTATCCTTGCCATGTCAGATATTCCCAAAAATAATCATAGCCTGATGAGGATGCAGCGCATTTGTCAAATTAATCTCCCGCGAGTGAAAATCCAATAACTTCAGTGTAGATCCATGTGCGGCTCATCTCATATGGTCCAGACGTCAAATAACGGAGCGGAGGAGGTTTGTCGCGTGGATCCTCTCATATTTATGGCGTCATAAATCCTTCCTGTAACTTGCACGCTGAAGTGAGAGGAAACTGCAGTTTCCTTAATACAAATTGCCCCCCGAGCCGCAGTCGCACAGCAAAGGTGATCACTGGAGCAAAGAGAGGAACTGTGCTCCTCCAAGTCACTTCGCCTTCTAAAAGCCCAAATCAAAGATACACTGCTTTGGAGAGGATCGGGTACACGCCCACGCCTCCCCTAACACCCCCTCTGTCAGATTCAGCAACATAGGCTCCTGTGTGTGTGTGTGTGTGTGTGTGTGTGTGTGTGTGTGTGTGTGTGTGTGTGTGTGTGTGTGTGTGTGTCACTGATACTCCTCTTGTGTTCCTGTTGATGCATGACAAAATATGATATTTGTCTTCGTTGTCTTCGCTGGCGACAGTAAAAGATCATTCAGCCACAGTGAACAGTGTGGGCCCTTGGGCCATTTATTAATTGACTCAAACACTACATAACATTCCAACTGTATGATTGACGTATCTCCCTTTTTGTTATTGTAATTTACTTACAAAACAGAACCTCACACAAACACAACTCACAATATTGTCACAGTTCGTCTCTGGGCTCTCTCTTGTTCTCTCCTCTGGACCTACCATTCCTACTATTACTGTCTCAGCCCTGTTTATTTTGGCCTCCTTCTCCTCCCCCTCTCTGTCTTGTACCTTCCTATACATCCAAGGTTACTGGCAAAGGGTTCCTGGTAGGGAGCACACAGAGGCAGCTGTAGTCTCTTTTATACAGACATTCAGCTACATTGCCTTTAAGAAGACCCTTATCATGCCACCTTTGCTTGTTTACACTGAATGAAACAACGCCGCCCCACTGCGTGACTTTAGATAACATGCCGGCATTACAGAATCAGAAATGATGTGCAACACAACAGCCTTGACAACTGCTCCGCCATGCCAGCCCTTTGCATAGACGGTTTATGGCCTGGGAAACGTCCTCTAAGGTTTTTGTTACCTTAGTGGATTCCCAGCTTGTCTTCAAGTCGGCTAGCCTCCGACCTGCACTCCAGTTGGCTAGCTTTAAGCCTGCATCTCTGCCTGCGCTCCAGTCGATTAGGCTCAGGTTCACTGGGTTTCATGGAAGGCCTCCTGACATATTTGGGAGACTCAGCTGCCCAGCACCACACTCCCAAGTTTCCCCCTGCCAATCCCCTGTCTATTCCTGAGTCAGCCTGTCCCCACCAACATCCTGCCTGTTCCTCAGTCGGGGTCCCTGTTGTCCCTGTCATTGTCTCACTTGTTCCTGCATTAGGGTTCCCTGCTGACATCTCATGTGTTCCATCTTGGCCAACATCCCACCTGTTCCCGAGGCATTCCTGAGTTGGCCAATGTCGAGCCTGTTCCTGAGTCGGCAAACATTGACCCTCTTCCCAAGTATTTCCACCAGCTCCTGGTCAGATCGTCTGCTTACATTCCCATGTGTTTTCCTATGGACCTTCTATCTGCCTCTAGGAACTTATTGTCTGTACCAGCCTGCTGGTGTGTCTGCGCTTGGGTCGTACCACCAGCCTTAATAAATAGCCTATAATCTGTTTGGACATTCCAAAATGATAATATGCAAATACCTAATCACAGGCAAGTCAAAGATGAAGTACTGCGTCTACAGCTCAGTCTATTCCAAGCCTGGCGGCTGCCTGGGCCTAAGTTGAACCCCCATCTAGCCTGCGCATCAGGGAATTAGGGGCAGCAGGGTTGGAATGATCACTAGCAACATCTGTTGGTTAAAATGTTCAGAGTTACTGTTTTAAAGTTTATAATCTGGATCTCGGGGAATCTAACTCAAAGCTATCTACACGCAGCGCTGCTGCCATCAAGGCATTTTGTTTCCCCTCTATAGCTTTCTCTGTTTTAGGGAGATGGAAAGCCTATGTCAAGTCATAGAATTTACAAGAATATGTTTCTAGTTAGTGTTTTAATTTTTGCATGGTTGACAAATTGTAAGTAATTACAGGTAATGATTTTAGGTAATATGTCTAGTTTCAGTAATTGTGTGCATTGAGTGCATTACTGAAGCGATATTTCTGCTCATATTATTTTGGTGTCAGAGGATATCACTTCGTTGATGTGGCATTTATTATAATTTTTTCTTGAATTGTGGGCCTGTTTTGTAAAAGTATGTTGACTTTTAGTGAGACTGTAATTTTTCATTGGGTCTAGATGAGAACATAAACTCAGTTGTTTGTATATACTTCTCTCTTTCTTGTATATGTACTCTCTGTTCTGCATAGGTCTGCTTCTCTGATTACCTTATGCAGAGAGGAGTTAGCAGAGGGTCTGGGTGGCACCAGCCCCTCATAATCCATAACTAAATTTATGTGTAAAGTCCTTAAGTTCTTAGAAACGACTGGATTCAAACTAGTACCTCACTAAAATAGGTTGAATAAATAAATAAAATAAAATCTTCTGCAGTGTGTGAGCTAACAATAAGTAAAATCAGTTGCTAGGAAACATTATAAGATCAAGCAATCATGTAAACTCAAGTAATTATGCAATCAGAAAGTCATTGTACAATGAGCTATAACAGAACTTCCGAAATGTCAGTTTCTTGGCGGGAAATAATATTAAGCTTAACTGGAAATCATATGTATGTTTTATTCATATTTGCATACATAAAGAAATATGTTTCAGAGTTAGCATTATTTAAATACAGTTTGGATTGAGTGGGAAATATCCTATTAAGCTAAACTAGCTGACATTATTATGTCTAGCTAACATTAGTAGCAGTTCTTTGTAATATGAGTTATATTTAGTCATTTTTGTGAAATAAAATCTTCCCAGTTTATTAACATTATAGAAATAGCATTTTGATTAAGAACTGTATTCCATATTACCTCATTTCCCCTTCAGTCATGTGGGTCATAATGTTATTAGCAAACTAATGTTAGCTTTGTCAGTTACTCTAGCTACATATAAATGACACCTGGCAGTTACAAGGTGTACATTTTCTTTAACATCTAATCTCTGGTAGTTTGTGTGTTTTAACCTGATTTAATTTAGTGATGTGTAAATCTGTAGTTAGTAAACACTCATGTTGTCACGACAAGGCTGACTGACATACATCTGGTGCAACCAAGTAGCTCCTGAAGTTGATTCTGGTAGTGTCGAGTTCTGTCGTTGTCTGTCTACATGAGGACTAAAGAAATGTCAATGTTGGTAAAGCTGGACAACAAGATGCTGAAAAATCAGAATTAATCAATCAGCCAAAGTACTAGATGTTAACTCACTAAAATAATGTCCACGGTTAAGAAGTAAGAAACAATGAGTTGGCGGTTGCAAATAATCCGGAAGACTATAGAAGACCAATACAGTGGATGACATATTTAGACCACCTGTCCCACAGACCAAGACTACAGTCTGGACTGTGCCAAAGACATCACAAGAACCCTATGAGCCAAAGATGAGATGAGACATAGATCAACCTGTTCCAGTAATGAAGAATGGGGGGAAAAAAGACTGGCTCATAATCCAAGGCATACCTCATCTGTCAGACATGGACAAGGTGCAGGTGGTAACGCAGGACAATGACCTTGAATATGCAGCCAAAGCAAGCAAGGTGTTTGCTTCAATCAAATTCACCATGTGTTTCTCCTACAGAATGTCAGATTGAAAGTCCCAAAACAAGGGAAATTAAGTCATGGCTGCAGGTGTGGCCTGGCAGTGCATCACCAAGAGAAGTGTCTGGTGATGTGAGAGACGTAGACGTCAAGCAGTCAGTGAATGATTTGTAACCAAGTATAAAATGCCAATGCCAATCAGATTTCAGTGAGGATTATGCCCTGCCCTGCTCCTGGCACTGAAGTCATCACAAGTCAAATTCTCAAAGGAGTATTTACTGTGGTGAGATAAGAGGATCAGATGCAACAATAATAATGGACAGATTTAACAGTATTTCACTCAAAAAAAATCTGTGTAATTTAATTCATCTTGGTTTAATTAATCCATTCTGTTTGTCAATCAAACCTCTGCAGAGCGTTAGGCTGCATGAGGTATTCATGGAAGCTAAACAGGAACACCTGTAGGAATTTGAAGGAGAAGTGTACACAGGAAAACTAAGAAAAAAAAAAAGAAGAGGGCAGCGGGAGACTTTATGAAGGTGTACCTACAGCTCTGCTCAGATCACTGCTACAAAAACAAACCTACTTCACTCAGCCTCCAACTTCTGTTCTCTTTGTGTTGCCTCCTGGGGCAATCATTACTATCAAACACCAGACAATCATATAAAAACATAGATGAACACAGTGGAAAGCTGTTAATCTGTTTACATTTTCTGTAATACTCACATCAGCCTGTCATGTTTTTCCCATCATTTGTGGAAATAACTCTTCAAAGGTAAACTGATGAATGTAAGTATTTAGAATAAAGGATAATTGTGTCCCTCTGGGTCTGATGAATGCACACTCATACATACTCAGAGGAACTGGCATATTCAGAAAAATAAATGAAAACAAATGCACCTACATGAAACAAATATATACCTTCATTGATAGAGGCTTTTATTGAGATGCTTTGGCCTGATGATCTGAGGTCTCCCATACTGTTTACCCTTCCCCTCTCCGGGTTACATACAGTAAGTGTTCTAGATATGTGCTTTCCTACAAAGGCATCAAGTAAACCTAAATCTGTTTGACTCATGACTGCCCTCTGGCTCCTTCCCAAATTCCCCAAGGCTAGGGTTTTGTGCCATACCCCAATTCTCTGGCACAATCCCCAAGCTGGGAAACAGAGAGAATTCCAGATAAATGAAGACCATATTCTGTTTTCTTTCTCCTAAAGTTGACTGCATGTGGTTAAGTGGTCACATGATGCATGCATGCTTTCAAGGTATCATTTGGGTTTTTCTGTGAAGGACCTCTTACAACCTGGTCTGGTAAATTTGATATTGCAGCATGAGTTCATATGATTGTGGGTGGTAATTTAAACTTATTGTGCAGTGAGAACTATAAATGCATAGTATAAACTTTCCTTGGATGCCTTATTTTGGCATAGCTGGTCAAGGTAATAAAAATGAATTGTGGGTGTGAAGCCCAATAGCAGGCCTCATTTAATTAGATCTTTCTCACTTAATTTTCATTGTGTTATTCAACACATTTTAGTACTTAAATTGTTTTCCTTGTGTTCAGTAGGACCTACCAAATATTCCCAATTTCCCAATATTCCCAATTTCTGGTATTTCCCAGATTGCTATAATTCTACAGAATCTTAGTTTTTTTTTTCTTCCCTCTGCTTTTCTCCCTGCTTTACTCCAAAAAGACATATGGTTTCACATTATAACATAAGTACTGTATGTTCAACTTCTGCTTCCCAAAATTGATTATAGCTGCCTTGATCTATTCAGCAGAGAGAAACTCTTCATAATGTATTCTTGGCTTAACTGGCAGACATACCATAATGTATGCTGCCACTTTGTTGTTTTTCTTGGCCTCCTCTTATGTTTTATGAGAAAATATTTTGGGTGTGCAAAGCCTAGAGATTTGCAAACTCATTACCTCTGGAGTGCAGTGGAGCTACTGAGGTAGGGAGCGGAGAAACAATAAACAGATGGCATTAACATCTCAGAGGCTGCAGATATGTGAGCCTGTTGAGATGAATATGAGGAACGATGATGTAAAATGGTTCTACACATCTGATAAGGGTAAGAAAATCAAGCACAGAAAGGAAGCGGATTTCAACTGTAATGTAGAACCACTGATAACGTAAAAACTTTTTTCAATATAGACAAAAGCCACTCTCCCTGCTCTTCATTACTCTCTATATCAGTGGAACAGATCTGATCAGACAATAAGCAATAAGAGGACACCTCTGCACACAGACACTGATAGAAACCTGCCATGAAGACAATCATTTCCTGGCTGATCACGTTTAGTTTTTTAAATCCTGGCGGCATTGATTGATTATTCTTTGTCGTTATGTGTAAAGATTGATGACATGCACAGCAGAGACAGTCGGTCATATCACAATAGCAAATTTGACCTCAAACTATGCCTCTTCCTGGCAGATTTCAGTGCACAGATGGCACATATTGACTGAGGCCCATTGCTGCTCTAACCCTGTCATGCTTCAAAGTTTTACCCTTTTCTTCCCTTTGCTTCATTGACCTGAATCAGTGACATAGTAGAGATGTTTCCTCTACATGTGGAGAAGGGCTGGCAGAGGGTAACAAGACGCTACAGAAAGATATATGGCCGAGCTGAATTTTTCCACCAAAAAGATCATCATTCCAGCATGAGGATTATCACACTAAAGTCAGCAAGATGCTTACCTTATGAGTAACAGCTGATGCGTCTGGATTCCACATCCAACCGCTTTGTGGTTGCTGTTGAGGGGGATATGGTTTACCAGGACTGATGACTGCCAGCCACTGGAAATTGTATGACCTGCAAGATACTTCACAGTGAGTGGTGGTACTGAGATTTATGCAAAACCCACATTGTGGTAATATCTGCATTGTAAAACTAAGCCAGTTAAAGAGAGCCTGTCAAAGAAAAAAAAACTAAATTTAAAATGACAATCTAAATTGGACAATGAAGTTGGAATTCCACTGTAGATCCATAGAAAACATGGGCTATATGTTTGAAAGAGACAAACCCACGGGTTGATCCTCAAAAACAATTTCCATTCCAAGATAGTGGTAATCATTGAGCTGTTTTTCATGTTGCAAAAAGACAAAAACAAGTGGTTAGCCAAAATCATAAGCATAATACCCACAGCTACTACTTCAGACTTACAAACGTATATGGTTTAACCAAATATTAGGGCTTAAGAAATAAAGTTTTGCAGAGCCTGGATTTTGAAGCACTTAACTTAAAAACAGCATATGTAATGTTGCGGTGGTGATGTAAATGGAAACTCCTGGCAAAAGGGCTAACTTTGATTGAAGACATGACAATTTTTGTAGAGCTAGTTCAATAATTTGAGTATTGACATTGACATTGTGTTTGAAAATAAGAGTATTTGTGGTCGGCTGAAAAGTTCTTCCTGCGCAGCTGAAAAATGAAAACATTTAGCTTAATAGATGGTCAGACGGTCGCAGGCCTTAGGCTCCTTTGCATGTTCAAGCACAAATTTTATCCGTTTTGTCACTATCTACATTGCCTTCTTACTAAGTGGGTTCAGGCAAATACGATCTCACTTCTATATATCTATTTGAATAATCTGTCAGTTAACACATACTTCTCTACAAGGAGACTACCAGTATTCTTGCCCAAGTAGATGATGTTGATGACATTTGAAAGAAAACTGATGTCATCGTACAGCCAGCTGTTTTGAATATGAAATATGATATGAACACTGCCACATTTCACTAGATTTTCTTGTCTGTTATTAATCTCTGATATCATTTAAAATAATACCAAAACTCCTATGAAAGCACTTTGAAGAAAAACAGTTCTTCTAACCACATGTCATGTTTTGTAATATATGTTATTTACATCAAATGCCAAATAAGGCACTTGATTTTACAGCTTATCTGCATGGTAGGAGGTTTTGAGACTGGGTTTTGGCTCAATTGACCAATCCTATTACACACTGCTGAGAGGCCTGGACTATGTTCTTCACTACTGTGGACACTTTGGTAGCTGTCCAAGTCATACATCAATATTCAATTTAAATTTGAGCCTGCTCTGATTATTTATGTCAGATTTTAACATAGAGTTGATTGTTTGATTAGTGGTGGGTGGCTGAGAGAGAAGTAGCTATTGTAGCTTTTCACTGCATCTGACTCGAGTCAGGTGAACGCTCCTCTTACAGTCTGACAACAAGGAGTTTAAAAAAATAAATGTCAAAGTTTTTTTTATGAATTAGTTATAGATTGAGCTGTTATAATGCTAAGGAAATGCCCCATGGTCCTGTGCAGTCCTTTTTCAAGATGGTGTCAAGAACACTTTTTGGAATTAAATGTGACAAAGACCAAAGACATGTGTATTGATTTTAGACATAATTACTCCAGCCCTGTCAACACTAATAAAAATTTTCGAGTATTCTTTGAGTCATACAAGTACTTTGATTATAACGCCAATATGATGTGTAAAAAAAAAACAACAGCACCTTTTTTGTCTGAAAGCTGGTTCCATGTTGACAGTTCCCTGATGACTCCAATTAACAATATTTTATTGAGTTGATTTCCACTTTTATCTGTAAATATGCAATATATCAGTCTGAAATGAAATAAATGTGCTAACAAAGCTGATGAAGGTCTGGAACAGTATCACAGGTACTTAACTAGTCTGTCTGAGTTATATAACAAACTGTTGTTAAAGAAAGCAGAATCCACTCTGTCTGACAGCACCCACCCGCTGCACCTAGAGTTTCTTGCCACTAGCTGAAACCAACAGATACAAAACACTTCCTCATACCTTCAGCCACTTCACTGCTAAACTCCGGTAGAAAAAGATAATATCAGTTTGACCACCCAACCACAGCTAATAATCTTAGTAGTACTTTATCATTTATTATATAGTATTTCATTGTCTTGTGTGTTTTTTATCTCGTGTTATTACTGCTGCAGAACCACTTGCCCCTCTGGGGACAAATAAAGATCTGCTTGACTTGACTTGACTTGTCTTGAAGTATGATCCAGCTATCTCCACTCCAGACAATTTTCTATGTGCAATCACTGGGCCATTTGTCCCTCAGGCATGTTTTGTCATGTAAAGTCATACAGAAAGTTCAATGTTTACAACATGAATCCATTGACATTGGTGTTGTTGAAAAATGCTAATAGTGTGTATTATTTTATGATTGGTGGGTCTCGTCTGTCTTTAAATAACAATACAACAATTTTAATGATTTTACCATTACCATTAGATAATTTAGTTATGTCAGAATATCACATTCTATATTAGATGGTGGAATAAAAATCCCAGAAGTGATTAAATTGCTGATTTCTTTGCATTTCCAAAGTGAAAACTTTTTAAAGTTTTACTTCAGTTTTTACTTTAAGCCTACCAAGTGTAGCTTCCAGTCACATATGTACTGATAATATGTTGTGATAGATCATACACATATGTAAATAATTTGACATGTTAATTGCAGATTAATGCTGAAAGAATAATTTAATATCAATCAAGGGAATGAATAGACATTTGCTGCAAGTAGAGGCATCATCCTACTCAAGGTTTTAGCGCCACCAAGTGGTGATTTGATTGTAAAGTTGAAGGTTGATGATGTGTGTGAACAAACCAGCAAAGTCAAAGAAAAACTGACCTCAAAAAGGACTTGCAGACCGGGTAATCTTTCTCAAACTGCTACATTTATATTTGTGTGACACATTTTTAGCCCAATATACTATATATTAAACATTTGGAGTAATGAAATTTCCCTGTAATTCCTTTGTAGCTTCTCCATCTCATTAATATTGTGACCTTAGGCCTACACTGTCACCACCACTCAGTTTAAAAAAAACCTACAAACAAATACAGCCTCATGCATGTAGTAGGCTACTCATTGCAGCAGTGTTGTATTAGAGGTTATGTTTATTTACATTAGTTTTATTTAGGTTTATACACAGTCTATGACCTAAACGTGTGTTGAAAACCTTTATATACGACGGAAAGAACACTAGAACTACCGTATTTTCCCCCGTCGGCAGTGCCATAGTTACCATGGCAACGTTTGTTGTCAAACACCACTGCTCACTCTAACTTAGCAGCCTGTTGCTAAACACATTTACTTATCTTTTATCTTAATACAACTGCAGTAACCACCATAATGTCAAAGTATAAGGTAAAGAGAAAGCTTGGTGCGCACATTTTATGTCTTGACACAGAAAGCCTTTCTGTGTCATGGTAATATATGTGGAAGTGATAGAGGTTCATTTAGCCCGTGCTAGCCGAATTCTGTATCTAAGTTCATGATAAGAAGACCTCTGTTCGTGGTTGTGCTAAACTCTATCTGGTTGGAAGAATTAGTTCCAAGTAGGTTAGTTGAATGTAAAGGTAACTTCATACATGAGAGGCACAAACTGGGGCTAGGTTAGTGTTGGCTTGTAAACTTAGCTAGTAATAAGGAAGCCAGAGGAGATGCTAACTGAGAAAAAAAAATAGACTGTGTACTTCAGATCATTGGGTTTGAACCTTGGTTTGCTTTCTTCACCTTTGCAGACATCTGGATACAAAGGTTCATATGACTGTGGCAAAAACGAGGAGCGGTGAGTGTTGATTTAAGTTGGCTGTGAACAGTTATTAACAAGTACTGGTAACAATTATTATGTTGCAATGACTCCTCAGGGAGGGAAGAAGTTGTGTGCGTTACAAATGTGGCCTACTCAACACCATACAGGATGTCCTGCGCCAAAGACCAGGCTGGGTTGAAGTCAAAGAGTGAGTAGTGTTGTCTGTTTGTCATCACACCAACATCTTTATTTAATTTATTGACTTGAATATGTTATCTGTTGTCTTTCTCACAGTGATGGAGAATGGGATTTCAATTGGTGTGATGTGGGCTGGCTCAGGGAGAATTTTGATCATTCTTACATGGAGGAACATGTAAGGATAAACCACTTTCGCAACCATTATGAGGTGAGGTAGCATTAATCTAGCATGCAACAAGAAACTGGTGGTTTTAGTAGGAATAAGCATACATCATTCAAATCAACAGTCATGTAGAATTTTCTGTCTTTTATGTTACAGCTGACTCGCAAAAACCTCATGGTGAAAAACCTCAAAAGATACAGGAAAAATCTTGAGAGGGACATTGGCCTCATGGAGGCTTCCAAATGTGATTTTTTCCCCTGCACCTTTGCACTGCCCAGTGAGTATCATCTGTTCGTAGAGGAGTTCAAAAGGAGCCCTGGCAGCACCTGGATCATGAAGCCGGTTAGCTAAAGTACACTACAGATGTAATAATGTGCAATAACAATAATAATAATAATAATAATAATAATTATCTTTAATGATCTTTATTAACCTGACCCCAGATATCTGAGTAACTAAAATTGAGTTTGCACCTAATTGAATTTAAATTCATGAGAATTAACTGGTATCTTTATTTAGGTTGCAAAATCTCAAGGGAAAGGCATTTTCTTGTTCAGGAAACTGAAAGACATCATGGATTGGAAGAAGGTAATGTGTACTGATTTCATCAAGGAATTGGATGCAAAAATAAATGACTAAAACACACACACACACACACACACACATACACACACACACACACACACACACACACACACACACATATTCAGATAGATGATAGTGTTCTCCCACAGGATGGCACCCGCTCAGAGGAACAGAAGGATGCAGCTCAAGTGGAAAGCTATGTGGCACAACGCTATGCTGGTAGAGGTTGTGGTGTTTTAGTATTTATTTTTGCATCCAATTCCTTGATGAACATCAGTACACATTACCTTCTCAATCCATGATGTCTTTTCAGTCCTGAAAAGAAAATGCCTTTCCCTTGATTGATGCGTTGCAACGTAAGATGTAAGATCACCAGTTAATTCTTCGTCGATGTTTAACTATTAAATTCCAATTAGGTGAGCAAAAACTCATTTTATACTACACAGATATCGGGGGTCAGGTTAATAAAGATCATTAAAGATAATTAATTAATTATTATCTATTATTAATTATTGTCTATGCACATATATTACATCTGCTATTGTACTCTGTACTATGGTGCTTGCTTGAACCCCACAGACCAGGTGCTGCCAGGGCTCTTTTGACAGACTCCTTACGAACAGCTCATAGATGATATCTACTGGGCAGTGCGACAGAATAGGTGTTGCAGGGAAAAAAAATCACATTTGGAGCTCCGATGAGTGCCAATATGCGTCTCCTCATCTCAGATTTTTCCTTGTATTCTTGAGTTATGTTCACCCAATGGGTTTTGCGAGTCAGCTTGTAAGGAAAAAGACAGAAAATTCGACATGCTGCTTGATTTGAATCGATGTTATGCTTAATTTCCTGCACTAATACCGACCACCAGTTGCTAACTCTGTAAGCCCAATGCTAGATTAATGCTACCTACCTCATAATGGTTCGAAGTGGTTGTGATCCTCTGTCTACACACTCGATCAGATAGGACATAACAATTCTCGGAACTGCAGGCCACCAGCTATAAAGGTATAGGGCCGACATCACATTTCCATCCACTGTCTGAAGTACTAAGCATAAACAATACTGATAACTATATAAGCATAAATATAAGAGTCGATGAGCCGCGTCTGACGTGTGAACAACGAGACAACATCACTCACTCTTATTGGGACTCAACCCAGCCTGGTCTTTGGCGCAGGAACAGCGTGTTGGTGTTGCAGATAGGCACATTTGTAAACCATCACTCACTTCTTCCCATGCCCACTGAGGAAGCTCATTTTAGCAACATAAATAGTCATGTTTCACCCAGTAGCTCTGTAATAACTGTTCACAGCCACTAAAACAACCATCACCGCTCTCAAGCTTTTTGCCACAGTCATATGCTTTGTATGCCAGATGTCTGCAAACGGTGAAGAATCAGCAGGCACCGGCTTCTTACCATAGTGTGAAGTACACAGACGTCTATTTTTTTTTTCTAGTTTAGCATCTGCTCTGGCTTCCTTATTATAGTCTAAGTTCTACAAGCCAACCACTAACCCTCAGCCCCATTTTGTGGCCCTCTCGATGTATGAAGTTACCTTTCATTTCAAACCTAACCTACTGGAACTAATATCTTCCCACCCAGATAGAGGTTAGCACAACACCGAACAGAGTCTTCTTCATCATGAGAACTTAGATACAGAATTCGGATAG